TAGTCCGTAAGTTAGGTAATGAAAAAATATTAGACACGTATTTTTTTATTTTGTCGTATAACAAAACAATATTTAGATAAAACGAATCAAAGTTTAGGAGTGGGGGCTAAAACGTCATTTCTACGTATAAAATGTACATAGAAGTGACGTCACGCGACATTTCAAATCAATACATAGTCGAAAGTATTCGTTGCGGTAAGAAAATAAAAAATACGTGTCTAATGATTTTAAATAATCTACCAGACGGACATTGAAATACAAATTAGGTATCTACTATTGTAAATGTTCGGTTACCAAAATTTCTTTTTCTCAATGTGACATTTCCGAGTTATATGTACTTTCTAAGATTATCTAGACACCACTGACAAACGGTGAAGGAAAACATCGCGAGGAAACCAGTGCCTTTAGCCAAACGCCACTTTAGCGCTTGTCTACAGAGAGAGTAGAAAACTGGCGGATGACACTGACAAGTATCAAAATTTACGTCAATTCCATATAATTTGGTTTTCTATTCTACATGTAGACAAGCGCTAAATGGCATTTGGCTACAACTGCTTGAGTTGCTTGAGTTGCGTAAGCGTGGTGATTAACACATTGGATGCCGTGTCAGACAATGATGCCCGACGCTAGCGGAGGATTAGCTTTTACCAGTTTTTATCGGTAGTTAAAGACTCAATGCTCAAACCTTCTCCGTATGAGAAGAGGCGTTTGATCAACAGTGGACACTTATAGGCTGTTAATGCGTGTGATATGACATCTATTGAGAGTATATCCTCAACATTCTCATTAACCTAGCTACAATCCCCACGTAAAACTGACAAGCATGGGGATTATAATCGACCAATTAAAACCAAACCAGCTAGTTATGGTGATGATGTGTTAAAATTTGACGACAAACTTACAGACCTTCTCTTGACATACATAAATGCTATGTAGACCAATTATCGTACTTATGTATAATATTTTTATATACATCCTTACATTTAATATACATTATAATGTAAGATATATACTATATTAATTGAGGATCAAGTGATACACTACATAGTATAAAACGAAGTAGCTTCCCATTGTCTGTCCCTATGTACGCTTAGATCTTTGAAACTACGCAACGGATTTTGATGCGGTTTTTTAATAGTGTGATGTATCTTATACTATTATTAAAGCGGAAGAGTTTGTTTTTTTTGTTTGTTTGTTTGAACGCGCTAATCTCCGTAACTACAAGTCTGATTTGAATAATTCTTTTTGTGTTGGATAGCGCATTTATCGAGGATGGCTATAGGCTATAAAACATCACGCTACGACCAATAGGAGCTGAGCAGAGCGTGTGAAGCGGAGCGGAAGTAGCTAGTGTTCAATATTTAGACTAAGTGGGTGGTAGTTAGTTATTTGCTAGTTATATTAAGGCGGTCGCCGCCGCCGCAACAGTCTGCGAATATACGCTGTCCTATCGAGACGTCCGTTGTTTTATTCCGCTCCTAGTAGACAAGAGACCTGCATACATATATTCTTCAAATAGATAGTGATTCCAGAGGAAGATTTAAAATTAATTTAATGTCTTACGACACAGAATGAAACACCACATTGTTTACGAAATCACAATAAAATCCTCAACTAATACAGTATGCACACTTTTAAAAAGAACGTACTATAGCTGTCCTTATCTCTCATATGACATTAGAAAGAGCATAACATAAGATACGCCTAAGATATGAAGTAAGTAGGGTGCTCCTTGTCTATGGTCCACAGATAATATTAGATATTAAGTATTCTATGATTTCAGTAAAATAATGAGTCTGTGGACCATGGACAAGACTTCATTTTTAATTTTTTAGCTTTTATTTATTTTATTTTTTAATTATGTAATGTGTGTTCTGCGCAGAAATAAATAGATTTTCTTTCTTTCTTTCTTTATTTCTTTATCCCCGAAGGAGTAAGCAGAGGTGCACATTACGGCACTTAATGCCACTGTACAATGTAACACCCACTGTTCACTATTTATGTTATGATTAGAAAGAGATGTATGATATTAGAAAAAGTTTGAAACCATGCCTTTATATTCTTATATAGAACTTTATATTTTTACTGTAAGCGGTCCAATGCCCAACACAAATAAGAGATCAAAAAATCAAATTGACTAGTCCAAAACAAAAAAAAAAAAACAATCAGCCGAACCTAGTACCTCCTCCTTTTTTTGAAGTCGGTAATGAATGGTATCATGAACGCAACCTACTGGTCAACTGTCCAGTAGGCTGCGTGACGTCGCAGCGACCGCGCACGCTGCTCATGAGGAAGAACCCCCATGTGGTCCGAAACTAGTAGAGCTTTTCTCAGTATATTCACGTGAGTAACCCGCGGTTATTAGTTATTATAAAAAACATCATTGCATTATATTTCTAATACCATACGAAAGAGAGACAGCTATATATATATACACATATATTATACCCTTAAAAATATAAGTAATCACTTTGCAACATTATATTGTATAATAACATTATTATATTTATGTTATATAATTTATACAAGTTCATTATACTATGTATACATAGTAGTTTACTTTTCAATGAGATCATAGGAGAAGGGGGGAGATTGTGTTTGAGTCTTAATACAATACCAAAAATATTTAAATTTTGTGTCTAACATTTCAATATAGGAGATATATAGATGGCCGTTATCACCAACTTACTCTTCATTTTAACATTGATTGAGCAAGCGTGGTGATTAATGTTCAAACCTTCTCCGTGTGAGAAGAGGCTTTGCTCACCAGTGGACCTAGGCTATTGATACAAATTAGCTGAAATATTATTTAATTATGATACTTGACACAAAATTCAATTCTCAATGGTTTTATATCAAGACACCCGGAGTTAGGGAGTATCGCAACGTTTCGATTTATTATATATAGGCCCAATATATCATTTTTTAAATATATATTACGACTCGATGTGTTACAATTATATATAAATAGCTGCACTGACCGACACTCTGACTGACGGACAATAATAGCATACAACATAACATCACGCCTTTTATCCCCGAAGGGGTAGGCAGAGGTGCACATTATACCAACTGTACAATGTAACACCCACTTTTCACTATTTATGTTATGAGTCCCATGTAATAGGGAGTGAGCCTATTGCCATATACCGGGCACAATTCCAGACTCCGCGCTACTATTGAGAATATTTAAAAAAAAACCAGTAATACTTTGCCCGCCCCGGGAATCGAACCCGCACTTACGACCACTCTGCCAACGAGGCAGTCAGGCAGGCAGGACAGAACAATAATAGTTTCCGACATAGATGGCCATATTCATCAACCACCCCTGAACCAAGGGTTACTTAACGTAAGGAAACACTTAAACTCATTGCTTGTACTGTTAGGTGTTACTTAAAGGTTGTTGACAACCAATATATCGTTAAATTAAACCAATCTTAGCTTAAAATGTACAAGTTAATGAATATAATAATTTGAAACGCACCGAGTCGTTATATTATCATTTCAAAATCTATGTAGAGTAGACCAACACATACATCAAATTGGAGCTTAAAATTAAAATTATGGGATAATGGAATTTATCACTTACACCATAGAGTCCATATTGTTGTAGGGGGGAAGGGGGATGGGGGATGGGGGGGATGCACTGATTCTCCACTTGAGTCTTGTTAAATCACTGCACTGTTGACGGCGACTGTTGCGCGATTAGTTGCGGAACAGTCGCTAGCAGTCGTAGCACGAATCGTGGCCCGACTGGAACCAAAAATGTTAAGTAAGAAAAATATAATGTAAGTATTTAAAAAAATGTCGTGGTGGCCCGGAGGTCTAAGACGCCCGCGTCTCATGCATGTTCGAAACCTACCAACGGCAAGTACCAGTGTGACTTTTTCCGAGTTATATGTACTTTCTAACATTATTTAGACACCACTGACAAACGGTGAAGGAAAACATCGTGAGGAAACCTGGGCTTGTAATTTCTAATTATAAGTTTGAAATCGCCCCCGCCTTGAGCAAGCGTGATGATTAATGCTCAAACCTTCTCCGTGTGAGAAGAGGCCTTTGTTCAGCAGTGGGCATTTATAGGCAGGTATTATCAAACAAATGATTTCAATATACAATCTGCCATATGAGATAGTTACTTTTCAAAATCGAGATTAATTCAGAGATCCAGAGATTTCTTGCTCGTTCTTCTCCATTCGAATCTACATTTTGGAATGAGCACCTAGTTCACCTAGCTCCACGGACGGACTGACTGACAGACTATTGTTTATTTTGTATTTGTTGACGTTTCAAAAATACCAAATTATGGTTTAATTGAAATAAATGCTTTGACTTTGACGTACGTAAATTAAAAGTACTGTTTTTTATTTTGAATAACTTCTGCCCGCGACTTTGTACACGGAATCCCGTATTTCCCGTAGGATTTACGGGAAATCTTTGGTTTAAAAGTATCCTTAAAGTATCAATTTAAAATCGTAGAACAATTTAAATAAAATCTACAAAGAAGGAGAATTCATATTTATTAGATTCTACGACTTCAGAAACAACTACTATTCTTACGCAATCACATCACAATGCGCCCAGTAGTCTATGAAGACTATGAGTAACAATAACAGTAATAATGTCTGGACGTATACCTGCTTGGCTGGTCCTCACGCATACGTGTGTCGACTGCCGGAACTCGAACCCGAGTACGATGGCTCCAGTCTGAAATATTAACATTTAATAACATAACATAACATAACATCACGCCTTTTATCCCCGAAGGGGTAGGCAGAGGTGCACACAGAAGTAACACCCACTTTTCACTATTCATGTTATGAGTCCCATGTAATAGGGGGTGAGCCTATTGCCATATACCGGACACAATTCCAGACTCCGCGCTACTATTGAGAATATTTAAAAACCCAGTAAATACTTTGCCGGACCCGGGAATCGAACCCGAGACCCCTTGCCCGGCAGTCGCAGTTACGACCACTCGGCCAAAGAGGCAGTCACATTTAATATAACGTAACATATACTAGAAAAGACTCTAGAAGCATCAATAGGGATGATGACAGGGTATGAAAAAATATTAGACACGTATTTTTTTATTTTGTCGTATAATAAAACAATACTTAGATAAAACGAATCAAAGTTTAGGAGTGGGGGCTAAAACGTCATTTCTACGTATAAAATGTACATAGAAGTGACGTCACGCGACATTTCAAATCAATATATCGTCGAAAGTATTC